CATTAATCATCCAGAAAGTTTCCTTGCCAAACAATCAGGAAAGGCTAGGCAGTTTAAATCTCCAAGTTAGGCAATTTAAGGTTGCTGAGTCTGAAATTTCAAAGCTAAAGTTTAGTTTGAGTTAGCCATTAATGGAACAAGTAGTAACTCATTCTCATCCTTGCTATGTACAGAGCCTATGTTCAATGCAGAATGTGATGTAAACCAAAATGCCTAATTTTTTTGTATCTTTTTTTGTATCTTTCTATACCCCTTAGGTGTGTTGTTTTTTCTCAGAGCCTCCATGCTGTCTTGCAGAGGGAACACATAAGGACAGCACTACCTTCTAGACATGCAATTTCTGACTAAAAACATCTTAGTCCTTTCAGACAGAGGAATGTGTTTTCTCTTTGTGTTAGGTGTCCCTTACACACCCTGTCGCTGATGTTTTCCAAGAAGCTGTTTGTCAGAATTGCACCAATGAAATTTAAACCCTTCATGGAACTGCAGCTCTCCATCTGATATGGGCAGAGCAGTTTTTGGACAGCTGGGGTCAGGCCCTGGTACTGACTTTTTCTTCTTGTTAGACTTGAAGGCCCAGTTGGTCCCAGGGATTAGGGAAGTATTGGCCAGCTACCACAGTGTGCTTGGTGTTGGTTGTGCTTGAGGATATATTGGATCGGGGGACAATCTTGAATGGGGACATCTTGATAAAAGACATTTAATGACCTTAGTCACTTTAGGGGGAGTGGGGCTAGGCCGGAGTGTCCTCCCATTATTTGACAGCAGCTTTTGTCCTCAGTCATTATAATTCAGAGTACCCTGCAAATGAATGCATCCTTCTGATCTGCTGGAGTCTGATATTGGACCCCAACATTCATTCCCAAGATAGGCTTCCAGTGCCGTCTTGGTAAACATCTGGGTCAGGGGGTGCATTAGGAAGTGTAGTTAGTCTGCTGGGCTATATGATGCTATTTCTGTCCAGCTGGTCCTTGAGATAATAAAAGTATTTTCAAGACAGACATGAATGCACTGCTGACAGTATTGCATTGATAGATACTGATATTTTTCTTGTCCCAGGACAAAAGCTCTTGATAAAATTGCCTGTCTGCAAAATTTGGGGAAAAAAATGAACATGAGGAGGGGCTTTTGGAGTCAAGAGAAGAGAATTTACTCCCTTAATAGGGAAAACAGTGTAGCTGGAAGAGAAACAATGAAAAACAAGAGACTGTGGTAAACCTGGAAGGATGCCTGGAGCCTGAAGGCCTCCATGTAGGGTGCTTCCAGAGTCAGGGTCAGGCTAAGGTATCTCTCCTTTGAGAGGCAAAGCACGCTGGTGACACAACTGCACTTGTGCCACCAGTGTCTATTTTGTCCCAGAAGATCTCAGGAGCAGAGCAGATTCTGGCTCAGATGGACTTCTTTTTCCCACCGCAGAAGGTGGTTCACAGTGATGCACCACCTGATGGGAATACCATGTCAGGACAGATACACATGCAGTGTGAAGGACATCATGTGTTTGCAGCCCAGGGTGGCTCAGCACCTTCCTCTTTTGAGAAGTGAGGGCTTGTTCTGAGTGCTGCTGCTCCCAGCTCCTCTTCACAGGTGGGTGAAACTGAGGACAGATACTGCCAATAAGGCAATGTCAAGTTCTCCTTCCAGATCACTCTTCCGGTGTTGTCATTTGTTCCCTCTCTCAATTATGTCATTGTTACAGATGTGGGGTCATAAGGCTGGAAAGATGTTCTTCATTTTGGGTCACACCCCTGAAAATCTCTTTCAGCTTGCTGGCTGCCTACACCTCTGTGGAACACTGCCAAACTTGGCTGCTGGTCAGCTTGCCACAACTCCATCTTCTCCTTCACCAGTAGCTCCTGCAGCATTCCAGTGACACTGAAATAAGATGTGAACTTCCCATAAGCAGGGGAACTCTTCTGTAGGGTACCACCAGCTGCTGGGCCCAGCAAAGCTGGTAGCACTTGTGCCTGCTGTTGCCTTCTCCTCAGTGAAGGCAGTTGATGTGTCCCAGGTGTTCACCAGCTCTCACAGACCAGATCCTGCTGTCACATTTGGTTGGATTTGCTAATAAATTCAAGACTGGTAGGAGCTGGGCAGATCATGTAGTCACAGACCCTTGGTTTCTTTGGGAACTATCCTGATCACCTCTTGGGGTTTTTTTGCAGTATGGGCATACAGACAGGAGTAGGCTCCAGCATGAGCTGCTCAAAAATGAACGTGGTGCTGCCCTGGGGAACAGGACTGGCCCTGGTCCTGCTGGGGCTGCCTGTGCCCAAGAAGCAGACATGTTTTTCCAATGTAGAAGTAATCTGATTGTTGACTGTGCAATAGGGTGTGCTGTGGCTGACCTGGAGTTAACTGGAGTGGAAAGGGGACACCTTGTCTGCCCACTGCACACGCAGCTGTAAATCTGGTGTCACCACAGCCATTAATCCTTAATAGGGAAAACAGTGTAGCTGGAAGAGAAACAATGAAAAACAAGAGACTGTGGTAAACCTGGAAGGATGCCTGGAGCCTGAAGGCCTCCATGTAGGGTACTTCCAGAGTCAGGGTCAGGCTAAGGTATCTCTCCTTTGAGGGGCAAAGCACACTGGAGACACAACTGCATTTGTGCCACCAGTGTCTATTATGTCCCAGAAGATCTCAGGAGCAGAGCAGATTCTGGCTCAGATGGACTTCTTTTTCCCACCGCAGAAGGTGGTTCACAGTGATGCACCACCTGATGGGAATACCATGTCAGGACAGATACACATGCAGTGTGAAGGACATCATGTGTTTGCAGCCCAGGGTGGCTCAGCACCTTCCTCTTTTGAGAAGTGAGGGCTTGTTCTGAGTGCTGCTGCTCCCAGCTCCCCTTCACAGGTGGGTGAAGCTGAGGACAGATACTGCCAATAAGGCAATGTCAAGTTCTCCTTCCAGATCACTGGTGTTGTCATTTGTTCCCTCTCTCAATGATGTCATTGTTACAGATGTGGGATCATAAGGCTGGAAAGATGTTCTTCATTTTGGGTCACACCCCAAGAAAAGCTTTCATCTCTTTCAGCTTGCTGGCTGCCTATGCCTCTGTGGAACACTGCCAAACTTGGCTGCTGGTCAGCTTGCCACAACTCCATCTTCTCCTTCACCAGTAGCTCCTGCAGCATTCCAGTGACACTGAAATAAGATGTGAACTTCCCATAAGCAGGGGAACTCTTCTGTAGGGTACCACCAGCTGCTGGGCCCAGCAAAGCTGGTAGCACTTGTGCCTGCTGTTGCCTTCTCCTCAGTGAAGGCAGTTGATGTGTCCCAGGTGTTCACCAGCTCTCACAGACCAGATCCTGCTGTCACATTTGGTTGGATTTGCTAATAAATTCAAGACTGGTAGGAGCTGGGCAGATCATGTAGTCACAGACCCTTGGTTTCTTTGGGAACTATCCTGATCACCTCTTGGGGTTTTTTTGCAGTATGGGCATACAGACAGGAGTAGGCTCCAGCATGAGCTGCTCAAAAATGAACGTGGTGCTGCCCTGGGGAACAGGACTGGCCCTGGTCCTGCTGGGGCTGCCTGTGCCCAAGAAGCAGACATGTTTTTCCAATGTAGAAGTAATCTGATTGTTGACTGTGCAATAGGGTGTGCTGTGGCTGACCTGGAGTTAACTGGAGTGGAAAGGGGACACCTTGTCTGCCCACTGCACACGCAGCTGTAAATCTGGTGTCACCACAGCCATTAATCAAGTGTCACCGAGGGCAACAGGATATTTCTTAATGTGCATTTCCCACCGGGCCACTGTGGCCTAGAGCTATTCTTAGCTTCTTGTACTGTACTGCTAAATTATGAGAGGCTTAATAATCAGCAGAATGCTGACAAATAATGATGATTTTTTTTCTGGTTATCACCACTGACCAGTATTGATTGGTCTTGATTTTAACCTCTTGTTATTGCAGAGAACGTAGTTTGGTTTTTTTAGGTGCTGGACTGTTCCCAGTTCCTCTGGGCATCCTCAGCTCTGCATGGGAAAGCTGTTCACTCCCACTAACCATTCAAACTTGCTGGAGATAACTACAGGCTGTCAAAATCCCCTTTTTCCCATTCTTCCCAGAACACAGTCCAGATGTAGATGTCAGAATACGCAGGTTCCCTTTCGGGAAACTGAACATGGTGGTGCAAGTTGCCTTCCCTTCTCTTTCACAACCCCTCTGCCCTTCTCAACATGTTATGCCCAAGAGCTGCTCATCCTGCTCCCAGACTCATCTGAGACCAAGCTCAGAGGGAAAGACCTGCAGGGCCTTGCAGGTGCCAGTTTCTTTCCTTTACATGCTCCAAAGTGCATCACTCTGGCAGACCTAAGAGCAGCAGGAACTTGCCTCGGGGGAGGGTGAGAGGTGGTTTGGCCTGAGGGAGTTCAGTGGGATTAAACAGCAGTCAGAAAAGGGGCTGCTGCCAAACCTGAATGGCTCTGAGAGCACTGCTGAGCCCGTAGAGCCTCTTAGCACAACACAGAGAGGCAGGGGAGACTGACAGTGCAAATGGGGCCAAGAGGGGGACCCTCAGGTGGAACCTCTCTGCCCAGTGCCAAGAAAGTGGTTGGAGATTTTTGCAGGGAGACCTGAGCTAGTCCTTGTTATGACTCTGGACAGCCCCTCAGTGATGGATAAGCTGCAGATCTCCTGGGACACTTGTGCACTCAGATCTCAGGATTAGCTGGCTACCAACCACAAGCTGTAATATTTTTTTGCCTGGAATAAGATCTGTTTTTTAAATGGATGTGTAGGAGGTCTCTCCTGTTGCCCCAGTGTCTAACCAGGCCTCCCTGCTTATGACTGCACTGGGGGTGGGGGGAGTTGAGATGCTCAGAGTTTCCTCATTCCTGAGAGTTCCTTGGGCTCACCACTCCTTAGCTGCATTCAGTTATTTAAGCAGGACAGCCTGGGAAGATATATCATGCAGCATACAGGGGCTGTGCTGAACAGTGTGAGACCTTCAGGCACCTGGTGTTTGACTTGTCTCCGTAGATGCTGTGACCATGGCATCCCAAAGCCGGGTCATTTGCTGGAGGTATGGTACTATCTGTACTTGCTTTGGCAGAGGAGAGGGAGGGAATTGCATTTTTCATGGTGATACATACTCTTGGCATGTATCACCTTGCTGGCAGGAGCTCTCAAGAGAGCAGTTCTTTGCAGCTTGACTGTACTTCACTCACTGAAACTACTTAAATACTTAAGTACAGCTTGTTTTTTACAATTTGTAAGGCCATGTATGTATCACACACCCATGTGCAGGTCATTAGCTGTAGTCAAGAGGGAGATGCATGTCCTAGAACTCTGCCTTTGCTAGAATTTGCTATCCCAGGGTTGAATGCTGTGGTAGATTGGGGTAGCAATGCTTGAGGAAGGGTGTATTCCTTCTGTAATATTTTGGGGTTCTATGGCTTGAGGAAGGCACCCCTCTTCTGCTGGTCCTCAGACAGTTGCTTGTGTTTCCATCACATCAGCTTGCTGTGGGGAGAAACTGTCCTCCAGAAGTTTCCTTGCAGGAGTAAGAGCTGGGAAGACATTTTCAAAGTGTTTTGTGCCTCATTTCAATTACCCCATTTCCTTTGGAGCTATTGACTGAGTTCTGGTGAACTAAAGTTGCAAAAAGAAGCCATGAAAATATCTACCTCTTATCCCTATCTCCTGATTAGTTGAAAATAAACCCCACCAGATGGATAAAAGGGCAAATTTTTCATCCTCTAGGGAGCATTAACTGAGCTTTCATCTAAACCTCACTGCTTGAACAGAGACAGCAAGAAGCTGTGTCTTTCCATCCCAGGTGTGGACTTTCCAGGCTGGAAGGAGACAGAAGTTCCAGTGGTGTGTGAGAGAGTCCTGTGGACATTTATTCTATGAAAAAGCTTTCAGCTGTTACCAGTGTCTGTCCCACCGGAGTGGAACAGCAGTGGGGAGAAGGACAGGCCACGTGTGAACAGAAGAGACCTCACACGTGAGCCTTGCCACGTGGAGCTTCAAGGAAGAACTAAATAGCAATATTATCTGCACCTTTTCACTGACAGAAGTGAGGTTGCCTGTAGACACAATATCAGAGTGTAAATATTCCCTGGGCACTGTATTCCTCATGTGTCTGGAATGCATGCAATAACCAGCTCTGTTATTCTCAAGAGGCAGCCCAGCCAGACTTTGTCAGGGAAATGAAATAACTGATGGGTGTGAAAAAATGCTCATCTATACCTTGCTGCTGTGAAAACCTTTCTCCTGCTCTGCCTGTGCCTCTGCCTGCCCTGCCAAGCAGCAGAAGTTTACTGGGAGAAGCAGGCTTCCTTCAGGGACATTTGCTCTTCAGGCTAATCCTGAAATGCAGAAAAAAAACCAGAGTTTTCCAGGAAGTTTCAGAGAAGCAGTGGGAGATTTCTGCTGATTTCAGGAAAAAAACAAAACAAAACCAACCAAGGAAACAAAACCAAAACCAAGAAGTCCCCAGCAAAAACAACAACAGCAAAACCTGCTGAAGTGCTGAATAAAATTGGGTTCTGCAATCATCAGCTGCATATTGCAATAGAAATGCTGCTGTTTTGGGTTACCACTGCCATTTTTTTTTTGCCACAGTAGACTTTGCTGTAAAGAGGAAGGCAAGGGACCTTCAATATCCTAGTCTTCCAGTTCTTTTGACCCTCTAGGCCCACTCCTGAGGGAGAGCTTAGTCCAAGTGGAGCTAGAGATCTGGAGAATTAGAGCTGTTGCCTATCACAGCCAGGCTGTGAGCCTTTCCCTGTCCCCAGGCTGTGATCAGCAGCATTCAGTCAGGGAATGAATGGATTAATTTAATTTAATTAAATTTGATTCCAGTTTGATTCCAAGTTTGGCTGATGAGGAACAAAACATGGAAAATACGGTAGGAGGCACAGAGCAGCGTGCCACAGGCTGCCAAATTGTCACTGGGAACTGAGGGTGGTGTCAGGGCTCCGACTGGTGCAGCCTCAGCCACCCACATCAGTCTGTTTCTGTGCCTTTAAAACACTGGAGGTACCAGGGTTGCTCATGCACAGTAAATTGCTTCTTGCTTGAAGTGCTTGAACTGGACTGCTACAAGACACAGCTACCACCAGCATGTGGCTAGGATGCCAGGTTCTTCTTGTGCACTCTGCACACCAGATCTACTCATTACACATGTTTGGCACACAGCAAATGTCTGTAAGGATCTTGTGATTCCTGGATCTTGCAGTTTCTGTGGAGGAAACTCCAGAGGGACTAATTTCTCCTTGTCCCTCACAAGGGATGTTGAAGTGGGCAGTGGCATCTGTGTACCAAAATTGCCATTCTCCCTGTGACAACTGAACAGTTTTTTCAATCAGCCTGCTGGTGCTCTGGAGCAGGGTGGGTAGCCACTCTCTAGGGGCAAAGGCAGCAATGTTTGCAGCCATGGGGGCAGGTGGCACCAGCACAGGACAAAAGCATTGGTGTGGCCTGTTTGTGCTTGCTTGTGTTTGTCTGTGAGTAGGCTGAAGATGGGTGTGGACAGACAAGTGTGAGGGCAGAGGTGGTGTTCAGGCCAGGGTGTCCTTTCAAGGGCCAGAGGCAACTGTGGTGGCACTTGAAGCATTCAGGGTCTGCACAGGAGGACATCCTGGTTGCTTGTCCCACTGCAATACCTCCTAGCATTTACTGTAACCCTCTGGCAGCATCCCTTGACTCTGAGCAACTTCTTCCATGCCTGTCCTTGGGAAAAGGGATTGTAAGATATGGGGATAAAGATGAGTCACATCTGTTGTGTGTCAGCACAGTGTGGCTGCTGCTTGCTTTGTGCTTCCCAGGTGTGGGAGCTGAGGCTTGTCATGACAACCTTGGCTGAGTTTATAGCAGCTATCTCACTCTGGGATCAACTCCCAGAGTGGAAATTGGTAGAGCTCCTCAAGGAGATGGATGTTGTTCAGCATACATGAAACCCTTGGCATCTTCCCCAGAGCAGGAGAGCACAGGCTGTCCCACGGTGAGCCTGGCTGGGACCTTGAGTGACTCAGGACTGAGCCCCGTGGGACATGGCAAGGCTTTGCTGAAAGCTGTCTCGCTGCAGGACCCACAGGAGCCATCAAAGTCCCCACCCTGCAGGCCCCTGGGAGAGGCAGTGCCTGGGTCCCCAGCTGCCTGGTGCCCATGGCTGGATGGTATCCATGGCTTTTCTCCTGGTAGGGTCAGCTGTGATCCACCTTGAGGGATTAGGTGAGGAACTGCTAATCATCCCAGCTGTTCATGGGGCTCCTGCCACATGGTCCCCCGCTGTTGATGACAAGGGCTGCTCACCTGAATGTTCAGCACTGCTGTGGTCATGTGCTTCATCCATGCCTTGTTCTGGGTCTGTGGCTCACCTGCCTCCTCCTCCTTCCTGCAGACAACTCTGCAGATGGACGGTATGGGCATGGGCTGTGAAGGAGGTGGGCTCTGCACTAATGCTGTCCTTTCCTTTTTCTCAATAGCATGACTACAGTCATTGTCATCCTGGCTGCAGTGATCGCCCTGATCATTGGTTTTGGTGTCTCAGGTATGTGACTGCTCAGATTTCTTGCAGTTACTGGTGGGATGAACTTCTGCCCTGCCGCTACCTCTGTGTGTCCATCCAGTGCAAAAGGCTGAGGTGTGATCATGTGTGGAAGTGCCACCCACCACCCTTTAACAAAGGCCAGGTTGGTGTAGTGCAGCCTGTGCTGCTGGAGGTGTAGTGGTGTGTCAGCTGAAATTCCCTTGGGCTTGGAGCCCCAAACCTACACATGAAGTCCTGCACGTACTCTGCTCCTTCTCCTGGATAGGATGAGGTGAGGGGATGGTATTTATTGTGAAATTAGAGAGCATCTGCCAGGATGGAGCACCTTTCCCAGGACCCTGAGAGACAACAAAAATGTGTTGCTTTGGTGTCAGCCAAAATGCAGCTTCCTTGGAATGTGCTGAGTGAGGATGGGTAGGGAAGGGCTGCGTGGGAAAGAGGATCTGGCTCTGGGAATTCTCAGGCTCGCAGCTTAGGATTTGAGATGCTGACTTTTCTTAAATGAAAGAAAAATATTTGGATTTCAGTAAGGGGGAAAGAGCTGCTATTTCTCTGCCAGCAATACGCCTTCCAATCACATTTCTATTGCATAAAGGGAGGTCCTGACTAAGAAAAGACATAAAAAAAGACAAAAAAATCATGCTTTTCTGGCAGCTGCAAAGAGAAAAATCCCTGAGTAAGTATAAGTAAACAAGAAAATACCACGTGAACTCTTCTCAAACAAGTAAGAAGAGCTACTTTTTGAAGCACTCTTTTACTACAGAAATACTCCTGTGCTTTATCGTGGCATGCAATCCACAGGAGCTGGCCTCCACTAGCAGCACTGGTAGCTGCCACCGGAGGCCTTGCTGTGTGCCAGTGCTTGTTGAGCCTCGGGCTTGGTCCATGACAGCCACAGGGCAGTCTGGCCTTTCTCCAAGTTGCTGCCTCACCTTTCTCCAGCCTCCTTGCTCTCTCCTTGCAGGAAAACACTCCATCAGTGTGACGGCGCTGACGTCTCCAGGGAACATCGGTCAGCGCAGCGTCCTGGGCTGCGCTTTTGAACCCGACATCCGGATGGACAGCATAGCAATCCAGTGGGCCAAGGAGGGGGTAGCTGGGCTGGTTCACGAGTTCAGGGGTGGGAAGGACCACCTGCAAGAGCAGGATCCGTCATTTCAGGGCCGCACGGCCGTGTTTGCGGAGCAGGTGATGGGCGGGAATGCTTCCCTGGAGCTGAGGGATGTGCAGCTCTCCGATGCTGGCACCTACCAGTGCTCTGTCACCACAGCCAGAGGGAGCGGGGCAGCGGTGCTGCGGTACAGGACAGGAGGTGAGGGCTACAAGGAGCAAAATCCTGCTACAAAACAAGTACTAATGTGGCTTGGTTGAACCTACCTGTGCTTATGATGCTGCTACACTCCTGGGTAGGGTATATTTCTGGCTTTTACAGGGATATTTATGGCTTTAACCCCTCTTTTGATATCCTTATTCCAGAAAAGGTTATAATCTTGATGACATGGTAGCTTTTTCTCTCTAGTGTTAGGATTAGGATATATCTAATTAGAATTAGATATTATACCTAATTAGAATTAGGATATATCTCCAGGCAGTACTGCTGCATAGTAAAAATGGTAGCATACTTAATATATTTTTCTCAGTTTTTCTGAAGTTTTTGGTTTTTTTAAATTATTACTAAAGCAACAGACCTCTGATATCATAGTTACCTGAAACATTGCATGTTTACAAGATTCAGTCCTCCATGAGAGATCTGGAAACCACCAGGTCTTCAGCCTCTTCCAGTGAGATGAATTTAGCTGAAATAACAAGTCTCCTCCCAAGTGATCACCTCATGTTGCGACTGAGGGATGAAACCCTTGAGGGTCTCCTCCAGACTGCAGTCTTTGCACCCTCCCTCTCATTCCTGTGGCCAGAATTGCTGCCCTACAGCTCAAATTGGGTGAGGAAAACCCCTCAGACCTCTCCAAGTGAAGGAGGGTTTTGGCTCAAGCTTGAGGGTTGCAAATGTTCCATGGGGACTTTGTCCCCCATCCCTCCTTGAAACCTTGTGGCTCTGCCTACTTTTGTGTTGCTTGATTGGATGTTTAAAGTAATTCACACAGAAAAGGCATTAGAAAGAACATGTGAAATGTTGTAATGGGTTTTATTTCCAACACAGCTGTAATACCTGTTCTATGTGGAAATATAGTGTTCCTTTTAGCTGATTTTCTTTAGCTCATCCTTACACCAGTTCACCTCTAGGTCCTACCACCCAAAGCCAAAGCTGAAGAGTACTAAAGGCAGCTGTCCTGGGCTTTGGCTGTGCAAGCCCTGCTTATTCTAGGTCTGCAGGGGATTGCTCAGGAGAGAAAATGGCCTCAAGTTGCACCAAGGGAAGTTTAGATTTAATATTAAGGAAATTTTGCTCATGGAAAGGGTTATCAAGCCCTGGAACGGACTGCCCAGGGAAGTAGTGGGGTCACCTACTATCCCTAGATACCACTAGAAATTTAAAATACCTGCATTTATGGTTATGGTATAGTGGTGGAATTAATGCTGTGTTAACAGCTGGACTTGATCTTAAAGGTCGCTTCCAACCTTAATGATTCTGAAACTCTGTGACGCTGTAGGTGTTGGTCAGGCCCCCTTCTCAGTGGGTGGAGAGCATGAATCATCTTTCCCCATTATTAAGAATAAATAAAAGACACTAAAGCTGTGTCACCACCTCAGCAGATCCTGTCAAGCTGGACTGCTATGTCCTTTGAGACCTGGGTCCCTTGTACTCATCCTCCCACGGCCCAACCTGTACAGAGCTCTGTCTGAGCCTGGTTTTGGCTTGGCTCCAGGCAGCGCTGCGCTGCCAAGCAGCAAGCAGCCTAGAAACACCCGGGACTAGTAGATGCAGTTGGGTATTTCATGCCCAGTTCCTATCACTTGCCTTGTTTTGACTCTCTCCCTGTTTTCCCTCCCAAAGCCTTCAGCATCCCCATGGTGCAGGTGGAGAACAGCAGCCGTGGGGACACGCTGCAGTGCGAAGCCCCGCGCTGGTTCCCTCTCCCTGCCGTGCGCTGGATGGCCCACGGTGACACTGGGGAGCACCTGCCCCAGGCTGCCAACACCAGCTACCAGCTGAACCCCGAAAACATCACTGTGAAGGTGGTTTCCCTCCTGCACAGCATCACTGCTAATGCCACCTACACCTGCGTGATTGAAAACAGCATTGCCAAGGCTGTGGTCAACGTGAGAGTGACAGGTAGGGTTCAACAGCACCCCGAGACCACAGGCACAGCGGAGAGGAGAGTTTCAGCAGTGTTCCTGGTGCACCAGGGGCTTCCTGCAGCAGCTGTGTCAGGCAAGGAAGGGACTGAAAGCATGGCTAATCCAATCACTTCTCTGTCCCTGGGGTAAATGAAAGGGTCTGTGCTTGCTCCTGCTATCTTTTATGCTTCTCGTGGTATTGTCACCTTGGCATGGGGACAGAACTGCCAGGGGACTGGAAGGAGGGACACACTTCAAAGGAGTGTATTGCTTGGAATGTTAACCAAAACCAAACCAACCAACCAAGCCCCACATCTTTTGACACTTTCTTTAGCAATTCATCTTAGATCCCATTCGTGTACCAAACCAACAGGCCCCTTCAGCGGTTATTGATGACAATACCTCTGACTCCAGCCCAATCCCTTTATTTAAAAAGACATTTTACTCACAGAAAATCAAGCTTTCCAAAGGTCCTGAGTATCTTCTCCTGTTCTACATGGGAAGGGCCATAGTGCTTCTACAGCCGTGACTTCATTGCAATTGGTGTCCAGTACAAGAGGCAGGGTCTATCTTCATCCATATTCAGAAAAATGGGAAGGAATAAGTACACACTTTATTTGCCTTCCCTGCTGTGTTCCTGTTCTGGTAGCCTCTCACAATTCTTCTGCTACAGATTTCAGCTTTACAAAGGTGAGCAACTTGCAGCTGGTGAACCTGAATGCAGAGTCAGCGTCGTCCTCCTTTCCAGCCTGTCACTGGATGCTTCTGCTTCCCTTGTACCTGCTGTCAGTATGAAACCTCTGTAAAGCAGATGGAAACTCTGCTGGACCTGCAGGTAAGCTTGGGAAGAGAAACTCATATATGTACAATATACGGATGCCCTCTTGGGGGGTTTGGCTACAGCAGCAGACCTATCTCAAGCCTGCCAGAATGAGAATGTGTGTCTTTCCCCAGAATGGGAGTGCATGTCTTTCCCCAGAATGGGAGTGCGTGTCTTTCCCCTCTGCCCATCCTTTCCTCATTCTCAGACCCATCTTTAGGTGGGACTCATGGCTTGTCTCTCCCACAAGCTTCTCCCATCACTTTCTGCAACCACAGAGATCCTTCTCTTGCACCATCAACTGTCAGCTCTTACTTGTCCCCTCATTTTCTTTCCTGGCACCATTTCCTGGACCTGGGCTGCAGTTCATGGCTGCAAGGCAGCACAGGCTTTTTCCTCCCTCCCTGCTCAGAAGACCTGCTACAGTACAAGCCTTGCTTGCTCCCACTTTACTCACACAACTCCAGAGTACAGTGTGGTGTCTCCAGTAAATACTACAGACACCTTGAACATGGCTAGAGGGAGCTGCCAGCCTGAGCAATTCCCTGCAGACCTGGAATAAGGAGGGCTTACACAGCCAAAGCACAGGACAGCTGCCTTCAGTATTTGTTGGCTTTGGGTGGTAGGACCTGGAGGGGAACTGGTGAAAGAGTGAGCTAAAGAAAATCAGCTGAAAGGAACATGTCTGTCTTTCCACATAGAGCAGGTATTACAGCTACGCTGATGGCAGGACTCACTTCAGGCTTTCCTCTCTATGGAGCTGAGGGCTTTAGCAGTTCCTGCTGATTCCAGAGTACACTGTAGTACAAACATGAAATTAGCTGATTTTTCTTGTGTTATTATTTCTTACCCAGACCAACAACAGGATATTTTGTTTGGCTTCACAAAGGGAACAAGAAATGTGACAAGAATTGCATAAAGGAAAAGTTCTGATTGTAGGACAACAAGATATGTTCCCTTGTCTGATCTAACACAGTGACCAGAACTCTGATCATGGGCAGAAGTTCAGACACAAACAGGAAAAGGGTTTCCTGCAATACAGCTGAGAACAGCTCCTTCAGAGTACTAAAAGCAAGCAAATCTTAACTCCCCCCAAACAGATTTGATTCACCCATCTCTTGTCTTGTGATTCTCTGACTGCACTAATAAAACTGTAAATAAGAGAGGCAGTTAACCTCCTTCATCTTCTTAGAATGCTAAAATCAAACTCCCCTGCTGAAAAAGATGTGAATGGCAGAACAGTGATGGGTTGGAAAACTGCCAGCAGGCTTGGAATATCCTGGCAAAGACAAACCATATCTAAAGTCCTGTATGGTGTGATGATTGCAGTTGTAATGTGAAATAAGAGAGGAACAGATAACCAGACAGCAGACAGAAAACTAACACACAGCATGAGGAGGAAGAGGAGACTAGTAAGATACTACTGGAAGCTTCAAATTCAGAAGCAAAGTTATCAAACCCAGATAAAACAATAGAGCTGAATTTTCCTTTTTGCTTTCTTAAATAAATGTTATCAGGTACTTCCTATCTATTTCTGTCTGCTACTGTGTTATTCATACTACAGGACTACTTTCAGTTGCACTTTTTAACCAGACTTTATCTTTGTCTTATCACTTACGGTCAACATTTTCCTCAGGCTGAGATAGTTTATTTTGGGGTTTTTTTGGTTTTGTTTTGCTTTCTTTCTGGAGGGTGGAGACAAGCTTTAGTAAAATCTTTTCTGTTCTGCAGAAAGTACGCACAGAAAGTAAGGCTGTCACAGCAACATTTGCAAAGACTTCTGCTTGAAGCTATTCTGGCAGCCTTTTAGGATGGAGTCTCACAATGTTACTGAATGGTGGCATCTATCAGGTCTTGTGCCACTCACACTTTGGTCTCAGAAGTGGACAGCAGGCCTTGAGAGGGAAGACACTTCACTCATGCTCAATAAATCCACTGCCTGTGTCACAGCTCGGTGCCTGCCTCTTCTTACCAGTCCCACCTAATGTTCAGGCTGCTGCTGATAAACTGCAAAACAATGCCCAAAAAATCTTGTCATTTAGCACTGTGATTTAGTCTCCAAACTTACTCACTTCCCTTCTTTTCTTGAAGGAGATGCTTTAAAAGTGTAATTTTAATTATTTCATTTAGGTGAAGAAGACCATACCCTGTGGGAATTGTATAGTTTTGTTAATGGTCACCATGTAGCAAGTAAACCTGAATACCAAAATAGATACTAAAACAGTGTTCTTTAAGTAATATTTTCATAGCTTTATTTAGTAGATACTACCACACAAATGCACACACCGTGTGCCCTAGGCCCAAGGCAAGAGCTGTCACATAGGAAGCACTGAACATCTCTCTTCCAAAATGTAGCCCAGTGTCACTGGCTGACAATGGCCCAGAGTGACACGAGTCACAGCAGCTGCTTGACTGCATGCTTCACCCTGTGCTCACAGGCTTGTGCTCCCCCTGAAAGGAGATCAAAAAAGCTCCTGATCGCAGTAGGTATTTCCATAATTCCCCTCCCACTGGGAGTGATATTAAGCAGTGGCTCCCATTCAGCAGGAACTGGATGTCCTGCTCATCCTCTGGCTGTTCAGGTAGCGTAAGGCATCTTGTCCCACTTCCTCCACCTTCAGGCACAGCAGGGTCGGACGAGGCCCCACTCGTGACACAAACTCCACTTCACCACAGTGAAAATTCCGCAGCGGCAGGGGAGCTGCAGGGGAAGGATACAACGGGTAACAACTCAGTACAGGGCTCTGGCTCTGCTCTGGCCCACAGCTGCACAAGCTGCTGCGGGAGGGAAGGCCTTGCAGCAGCTGCTTGGCATCTGCTAAACCTCAGAGGACAGCACGATGAATGACTCCAGGACATAGGCAGAGGAATGCATTTTGCCAGCATCCCTCCAACTTGGAGGAAACAGACATTCTACAGTGTGAAATGCTGTGAACTATGTGCTCACAGAGCTGATACTCTGAGCTTTGTATCCTCTATCAGTATCAGCAACCTGTCTTTACAGACAGTGTACATGACAGCCAGCAAGTCTCCACTGCAGAGCATCCTCTGGTGAGCTTAGCACCAACCTCTGCAGCACCTGCACTCAAGCTCTAGGTATGTGCATGAGGAATGTCCCCTTAACACAGCAACTGCACAGTTGTGGCAGCAAGGGCTCAGACCTCAGCACTCATGAATTCAAAACACTTCAGTGCCGATTTCCAGGAGAGGATTTCCAGGCCTGCTATTGACCCTACATGCTGTCCTATGTACAATCAAAACCCACTTGATTTGAGAGGTCTGCACAGTAACTCTGGCTGATCAGATTCCTGTCCCAGACAAGGATTGGGAATCTTTCTCAAGAACAGTTTTATGTTTCTGTGTGAAGTAGAAAAATTTATCCTATGTTGTTTTAGGAATTTCCATAATATTATTTCTCTATTTTTATAGCCATGGATCTACTAATACACAACTTACTTCTACACTACAGAAGACAAAATTCCAGGAAAATCCTTCAAAGATTTTGCTATGATGGGCAGCGAAGGCACCTCTCCTTCCCCAGCCTGGTGAGATGCCTCCTCCCTTCCTTCCCACACTAAATATTAGAAAAGCCAGCAGTACTTGCTTACCAGGCTGCAGGATCTTGGAGGGCTTCCTGTCTAGGCTGAAGTCCAACAGGATAGGGCGACATATGAGAGGACTTCGGCACAGACTCCTTAGGTAACAAGCAACAAGATCCTCAGGTTCCTCTAGACACTGAGGAAGGAAAGAGGGTGTTGCCAGGGAGTGTTCAGTGGGAGGCAGGGAGGCTCTGGAACACCCAGAGCAAAGGGAAATCCTGTCCAGCCAAGACTTGAGCCCAGGAGACTGCAACTGCTACTGGAATAGCCCACTCACCCCTGTTCCAGGAGCTTCCCCATGCTGAATGCACACGCTGCCCCTGCTCTGCACACAGTTCTGCACAGCCTCCCACTCGAGAAGGCTCAGGCCCAGCACTGCTGCCACATGTTCATTCCTGCACAGCACCACAGCTTCACCTGTTCCATCCTCCACCAGCACCCTGTGTAGAGAGCAGGCAGGCTGGGATGAGGAGGGCAGGACAATACCTGCTCCCTCACAAGGGTCACACCCCAGAAAACACATCTCAGTAGAGAGTTTGTTCACATCTCAGAAGATGTGGTAACTCCATCTTTGCTGTTCTGTCCATATCCCATCCTTGATATGATTTCTCCCTCCAGTTTGTGGTGTAATTTGTCCCCTCCTCCCTGCTCTTCCCACACCCAATCCCTACAGCACTCACCGTGCACTGGCTTGCCTCACTCCTGTTTGTGATGGACATGGGGGATTGTGTCGGGTGCACCTCCCCTGAAGGAAGAACAAAACTACAGCTATGTATGGGTGATGTAAGTGAGAAAGGGAAGGGCCACTGCTTATTTTAACACTTCACTAATTAAGTATGCAAAGGTGTAAAGAATTTCACTGCATTTCCAATGAGTGTTCTGGGAAAAGTTTATATGCGGAGAAAAATCACCTTGCTGCAAGGTGCTGATCCCCAATAGCAGTGAACATGGGAAGAGCAGAGCATTAATAGAGGAGGATTGTCTTCTTCAGTGTCCTCTTCACCCCCAGTCCTAGCTGCCAGCCTGCCTAGCATCAGAAACACACTTCTAATCAGTTATCCCTTTGGTCCCCTTCTAACATGCAAGTCCTTCTCAGACACTGGAAAGAGGGTTTGCAATCGAGGTAGGAACTCTCAGTTCTTCTATATGGTAGCAAAGGATGTGTGAGTAAAAAATCTGCAAGATCTCTCACAAATTATGTTTGTGGAAGCTTGAATACCTCTTTGAAGATGCAGCTGCAAAGTGAGCAAATCCATTGCAGGCACACCGTCAGTACACAGGACAAGTGGCATAAAATCCGAGCCTGGGCCAGATTTTGCAGCTGAGGTCTCAAGCTGGACAGAAGCACTAGTGAGGGGGGTGAGGCTTCTCCTGCA